AGGGATCTTAACTTTACTCAGTATATATCATTCACACAGAGGGTTACAGCATCTCCTATACAGCTGTATCACTAGTACTGTTCTAGGGATCTTACCTTTACTCAGTATATATCATTCACACAGAGGGTTACAGCATCTCCTATACAGCTGTATCACTGTCCTAGGGATCTTAACTTTACTCAGTATATATATCATTCACACAGAGGGTCACAGTATCTCCTATACAGCTGTATCACTGTTCCAGGGATCTTAACTTTACTCAGTATATATCGTTCACACAGAGGGTCACAGCTTCTCCTATACAGCTGTATCACTGTTCTATGGATCTTAACTTTACTCAGTATATACCTTCACACAGAGAGTCACAGCATCTCCTATACAGCTGTATCCCTGTTCTAGGGATCTTAACTTTACTCAGTATTTATCATTCACACAGAGGGTCACAGCATCTTCTATACAGCTGTATCACTGTTCCAGGGATCTTAACTTTACTCAGTATATACCTTCACACAGAGGGTCACGGCATCTCCTATACAGCTGTATCACTGTTCCAGGGATCTTAACTTTACTCAGTATATATCGTTCACACAGAGGGTCACAGCATCTCCTCCTATACAGCTGTATCACTGTTCTAGGGTTCTTAACTTTACTCAGTATATACAATTTACACAGAGGGTCACAGCATCTCCTATACAGGTGTATCACTGTTCTAGGGATCTTAACTTTACTCAGTATATATCATTCACACAGCATACCTTGATGGTGAATGCCATTTCAATTACAATATTCTTAAGATGATATTGACGTCAGCGTAGAAAGAATTCTATTTATATATAAGTATACCAGATTGAAACAAGTCATGATTTTCATGACTTTGGCATTCGGAACCAAATCATGCAGACACGATATTGTTCAGGACTCAATCTTTCCGCTGCCAAAGCATAATAATTATGAACTACAAATTGAAGCCAGTTTCATGTCCTTTTTAATGCTTCAGATTGAAATTGATTGATTTTATCATTTGATTTTTTTCTAGATGGAAGTTTGACTAAATTCTGTCTTGCTCATCTAGAAAAATGCACAGAAATTCTAAAACCTAGTTAGGTGTAAAAGATGGAGAGGGCATACAAAGATATTTTGTTGGCATCACGATCGACATTCTTTATTTGCAGAACGAGGCAATAGTGGTTACTTTTATACGAACAGTAATTACACCAAAACCTATTAAATTGAAAGAAATTGATGCCTAGTAATCAATTTTATATGTAGCCTAGCTAACTGTAACTTAATTCAAAAATAATGTGAGTCCTCACCTACCAGCGCCAACATAACAGAGACAATTTGTTTTTTGGGAGGAATTGATGGCCGGTGAAGTGTCGTCTGCTCTGTCTGATAGAGATAAGAGAAACTAAACTAGGCATCGGGTTTGTAACCATCATGTAAGTGATTTCCACCATTCTGTAGGAGCTTTGTCAGATTAACCCTCAAACACTTTGTTGTTCAATGAGAAATTCACTTACTGCAAATGCAAAAAGGTTAATGAAATGAATGTTTTCTCACTTTTCAAGTTAAATTTCACAATGTAGACAAGATGTGCCGGCAAAGTAAGGTTAGACTATATGGAGTAAATAATTAATGTTTTGAACAAGAGGCTCAATAGGCCTTTATCACTCACCTCTTTGTCGACTCACCTCTATGACCTTCAGAGAATTTCAAGGTCAGATTTACCAGGTATTTAAATATTTCACTACACATAATGGATCTTTGTTGGAAGATTTTATTACTCTACACCTTATGAATATTCCTTGAAAAATTTAAACCTTATTTACTAATATGACCTTTAAAGTTGGTCTAGGTCATTTATTCAGAACCCATACTTCAAAGTATTTCCACATCATCAAGCTACAGGATAAATTTACCTTTCCCTCTGGATTATGCAGAAGATTTCAATTAAGGTTTTAATTATTTTACCCCTGTGACCTTCAATGCAAGTCAAGGTTATTTATTGTAACAAAATTGATAGCCTTGTCCAGGCATGCTACTTTTAAGCTGAATATAATCCCCATAGTCCCTTCTAAAGGTCATTTGAAAACTTTCAACAAATTTTACCCCTGCTGCCTTGAAAGTCAAGGTCATTAATTTGAACAAAGTTTATAGCCCTTCCTCCCAGCAAGTAACTGACCAAATATAATCACTCTGGGCCTCTGTGACAAATTTGAAAACTTATTAAGGTAATATATTGTCCCAGGAAGCTATTGGCCTATTATTATGACTCTAGGCTTTTTGGGTTTTCAGAAGAAGCTGTCTGAAGTTTTTGACATATTTGACACTATATTTTATTAACGGACTGATGGAAAATGCAAGCACTTAAAGCAATATAGCCACAATGTTATAGACTATAAAACTGAATAAACATATATATCAAAAGCCTTTTTCCAGTGTTTAATCAATGATAATATAACAGCCATCTGCAAGCAAAGTCAGTGATATTAGAAATAACAACAATTTGTGATGCCGTAATTAATGAAGACATGAAGTATTTGGCAATGTCATTCATGTCATGATGTGTGCAATAGCTATTTGGTTAGTGTATAAAGCAGCTAACACCAACATAAGATACAAATGTAATGATTGGATGTCTGTGACATTGGAAACACTGGTTGTAAAGATACAAATGTAATGATTGGTTGTCTGTGACATTGGAAACACTGGTTGTAAATGATTGGTTGTCTGTGACATTGGAAACACTGGTTGTACAAGCATGTCTATTGTAATTGGTTAACTTACAAACACATAGAATGTCTACAAAACACTAAACACAGATTTTAAGTTGATAATTGTTTTTAATTTCAATTCTTGGTTAGCTTCCTTCACAAGAAATCGTTCATCTCTTCATCAAAACTTTGAACAACTGAAACAAATATACATTTAACAAAATATAAATTATACATAACGTTTGATATAATTTCTGTTGGCATGGCAAATACTTTGTGTGCTGTAAAACAGTAAATATTCATACATCCAGTACTATGATGTCCAAAACAAGCATATCATGGACCAAGTTCTAAAACAAGAATCTCATGGACCAAGTTCTAAAACAAACATCTCAGGGACCAAGTTCTAAAACAAGCATCTCAGGGACCAAGTTCTAAAACAAGCATCTCCGGGACGACTCCAAGGACAACTAAGTGACCAACTTTGGATTGACTCAATGACCAACTCAAGGACAATGCAATTTGAAGACCATTAACTTTTCTGTTTTTAAAACAGTGGTTTTTAAATTACTTTGGAAGAACTGATGTAGAATAGAACTTTAGAGCTGATCAGCCTCTGGTAAATACAAATTTCCTGATTACATACAGTACCGTCACTGGACCCAAATCAGGAAAGTACCCAAAACGGGACACTTGTGGGAAAACGGCCCATGTATACAGTTTTCATTTGATAATACTTTAAATGACAATTAAACTGTATTGAGCTTTATTGGCTGCTAATTATCGCTACATAGACAATTTAAAGATAAGAATAATTACCAAAACAAGACTTTCCTGATTTTCGTGCCGTGCGACGGTATTTATTTGGATATGATTTTCCAAAGTCTATTTTATAAAAACTAAACATAGTTTAGAGAAGAAGTTTAATCAAACCCATCGTTGACTCTAATATATTTCAACTATGCACATTTTCTGCCGATATTGATCGTTTATCCCCATATATTCGCCAAAACACCTGAAGTGTCCCTTTCAGGATACAGTAACGCCAGTTCAAGGGCCTACGTAACTCTGATGGTATTTGGCGTTCTTTTTATAGAACCACGCGCCCGATATATCAAATTGTGATAGAAGTGGAAAGTGGATAGTATCTATTTATGAAAAATGAACAAACATTTTTGGAACTTATAGTATGGTATAAAGAACATTGATATTTATATAAAAAGTGTCCCGATTTGGGTACAGTAGCGTTACAGTTTACCGGATTACACTGTATACATTACAGTATATTATTTCCGTTTAGTGTTATTATCATGAGCATCATAAAAAAACCTTAATCCATGTAAGGATTCCTGTCCAAATGCAGGTAGTACACTAGAAAATGTCACTTGGTTTGTCACAAACACATTCATCTCCCCTTAATTGTATTTTGGCTATAAAGGCCTAACTGTAGAGTATCTGGTTCAGGGTACTATTAATAACAGCTGATCAGAACTAGTTCGTTTTGTTAAAGCGACAGTGCAATGATCAGAAGTCCTGGGTTTGAATCCTGGTGCGCTGCATGGTAACTTTTACACTTAGAACAATATTTGTTTAGTCTTTTTATTTATTTCATCTTTATCATTTATTTTCATAAGTTATAATTTTTTGTTCAGAAATACTTAATCAAAGAAACAGTAATACAAGAAAAACATTCATTAACAAGTTTTTTGGCAGTGGTACAGGGATCCTTACATAAAAAAGTTTGAAAAGCTTGAAATGATGTTGAAAATGTACTAAAGCATCATGGGATATTCTTGTAAATATTCCACAGGAACAGGAAAGGGAAAATGGACAGCAATGCTGTAGGAAGTCATGGACAATGTACAGAAATGAGAGTTAAACAGAATATTGAGTAACATAAACTCTGACACAAGAAAGATAGATCAAGTATTGCTGGAAAAGGTAATGTACCATTATAAGCTTTCACATATATCTCCGAATTCTATTCCAAAGATTGTGTTTTCAATATAGATATATATATTTATATGGTTCAAAGAAGTAATATAGACGGTAAAATCCCATATATAACACTGGATCCTAATGGAGGTATGTCCGTAGGAAACGAATTACTTAAAATATTATATGGGGCAAAGAAAAAATTCCAACAGTGTGGACAAGTTTAGGAACGATATGATGTATATGTACATGTAACTGTTCTGTTTCACTGTGTCTTGAAAAAGGAGCGGATTGCTCCGAAAATTTGACAACCTAAACTTGTCCACACTGTTGGAATTACTTCTTTGCCCCATATATATATATATAAATATATCATAATTATCATTACATGTCATTAATTGTTTTCATTGTCATAATATGGCGTTATAGTTTTGACACTTGTCACACGAGACTGTCGTATCGAGTTTAATCATCTCACAGTTTCCGTTCGTTTCTAGATTCACCATGAGCTTGCATGGTTCAGCAGAGGCACCAGGATCAGGAAGTTCATGTCCCGACCCAGTGGACGAGAAACTGTCATGGTTTCCAGTGTATGCTATTGGCGGAACATTTAATTCCTCGAATGATGACCGCTGGACGTTTGGTATCAGTGGTACGGCGATACTGTTCTTGTGTTTTTTCCCATTCTCCCCCATACCTCCTCGACAGTGGGTTATGTGCTGTGGATTACTGATATTGCTGGCCCTGCGATTGTCTACTGTTAAACTAAGGCTACGCGCTAGGCGACGAATCTCTTCCTTTGTCAATATACAAGAGCAAAATGTTCGCCAAAACTGACGTCTGAATTTCTTCCCGAAAAAATAATATGGCACTATGTTGATGGCAGAATTGATTATGACAAGAAAGTTTGACACTTCGCTGAATGTATACCACGATAACGAAGTGAAAGCTGCATTGAAATCCAACGCCCAAATCATTCGCGACACTAAAGCAGGCCCTTGACATAATAGGAAAATGATCACAACACCGATTAACATTATTGTGGTGTCATTCCTACGCTTGTCTTTTGAGTTGAGCTGCAGTCCTTTCTTACGCGACTCGTGGACAGCCCTTATTAGAAATGTATTAAGAACTACTAAGGCCAAAAATGGAATTCCGGCAACACATATGAGATAGAGCCATGAATGTATGATTTCCCGGAAGAGGTTACTTGAACCAAACTTTGTCAACTTGATCAGCAGTGGCGAGGGAATTGTAAAGTTTGCAATGATATCAGCGGGTAGATGGAACTGTTCTTGTTCAGCTTTATATTCGAAAAATCGTGGAATGTTATATAAAAAACCAGCAGTAACAAGGCCACAAATCACTTTCCTTGCCCGGGACACGCTGCACCAGCGTTCTGCCTTAAACGGGTGGCAGATCATGATATAGCGGTCTACCGTGAACGCGAGAGTCAGCCATATTGACGTGACTTGGAATGTGAGAGCTGTTGGGTGGACATATGGAAACATGTACACATAATAAGGCTCCATCCATCGAATCTCGGATTTGACGGGCTTTTTCGTGTCTTTGATAAGAAGTAACATAGTCATAAAGAGGAAGAAAGAATCACTTAAGGCTAAAGCAGATAGGTAGGAATATGTGGAAGATCTCATCAGCCGCTGGCTAAGAACGATCACAGACAAAATATTGCCGATAATTCCCAAACAGCACAGGCTCATACCACAGATACCCATAAGATAATACATGAGCATATCCTTCTGGTAACCAAGTTCACTGCCTGGCGATTCATTCAAGTTGAAATCGTCAAAGAAGTCAGTGAACGGGTAGTTGGACAGGTCAATTGATCCATTCAGAGGAAATGGGAAGTTTAAGTCAGACAAATTCAGTCCTGACAAAAACGATTGTTCATCTGAAGTGTTGTCATTCTGGTCCGGCATACTAACAATTTTTTCTGAAGAATTTTCCTAAAAAAAAATCAACTCCATTAATAATATGGAATTTATAAAAATGTTCACTAACCACTCAAACAAGTTTTCATTCCAATCATTTGAAAATCACCGTTCATTGAATCAAATTCCTGTAAATTCATCACTTTGCCTTTTTCCTTCTGCTGCAGTTTCTTCATAAAAACTATTCAAAGCATGATTAAAACACAGCATTATGACATCCACTTGAGGAATGTGCCTCAAATCCTCAAAACGACGCTGTTATCAGAGAAACGTTTCCTTGGCTTTACAAAAGCTTGCAACAAGGTGAATGATTTCCCCGCTCCTCACAAGGATATCTTTTGAGAAGGAATTTTCCTTTAACTTCACAACAACAGCCAAACACAAAATAGTATTTCTCCTCTCTCACAATGTCTTCTGTCACCTTCCTTGACCTTACGATGGCATTCAAACAGAGAAATGGGTTTCTCTGTGGTCACATAGATGTCCGACTAGAGAAACGTACTTTGTCACACTCAAAACTCTTCCCAGTCTGAATCTGATTCACTGCTTTGAAGTTTAATTGAATTTCGAAAAAAAAATGCTTCGTCATAGTGTGCACATTATGTCGACTGAGGTTATTCTCTTAACTAACGAGAATTTCCTTTCAAGTTCATTGACAATTTTTCTATATTGTATTTTTATTGTTCATTGGGTGAAGTCCTTTCGAGCAGAAATAATGAAATCTTAATCACAGAGACGTGTTGATGACACAGCGGCCACAGTCAATATCATATTCTACTGGTAATCATCAAAAAAACTCCTCCGTCAATTTTCTTTGTGTTACCAATAGGTGATTGATGTCTTTGGTGAGATATTCCATAAATAACTTCAATGCACAATCTTATTTTTATAATGTCTCTTTTCATATACCAATGACAACTGATAATCCTTTTGCATGAAGTGGACCCGATTTATTTCTCAGCTTTTCCCTTTTAGAACAGATTTGCGTTGTATTTAGCTGCAGGTTATTTCGAAAGCTCTATAGTTTCAACACGTTGTTCCACGATTTCTGTCAAATATTCCAGTTTCGACATGTCGTTCTATCCAGCACACAGCGTCCATTCTTAGTGCAGGTTTCCCCGTATAAGGCTTCTGAAAAATACAAAAAGTAAATTCGTAATTAGTTTCATTCGTTCATGCAATTGAAATCATCCTTCTTGTTGAATATATAAGGTCATACAATCGTATGTAATGACAATGCCTTACTGTTAGTTCAGAACGGGCAAAAAAGGGTTGGAATTCACATACAGGTATATCCTTCATCAAGTTCATACCTTCCAAATCAGCGCATAACTTTTGTTGATTTAGTTGCTGTATAGTAATTTTTATTTTGTGAAGAGTATTTTTGAGTTGTGACCTACCACTAACTATTTATCAACCATCTTCGCTAGCCAAGTGTTCGCTTCGTATTAAGTGGAGTGAAGTGTATACGAAGCGAACACTTGGCTAGCGAAGATGTTTATCAACACGAGAACTCAGAATTACATGTAGTTAGCAATTTAGCACAAAACAATGCAAATTCACACCAGAGGTCAAATGTCAATGACAGAAAATGAAGTCCTAAAATTCAAAATTGAATGTAATTCATTTTTCCATTTTCATTCCAAAATGTGAGTTAACTTTTTAACATTTGAAATTTAAAAATGAAATCTAGGCCTGTCTTATGTTTGGGCAAATAACAATAAAGTTGGGCCAGCCCAGTAAAGATATGAATGGTTACCTTATTGAAGAACAAAAAAAAATGAAAACTTGTACATGTCAAACATCACATACGTTTTTCATTTTATTCCATCCATGTGAGAAAACTTTCAATAAGCGGTATATGTCTTTACAAAGTGCCATGATAGGCCCCAACGAACATTAAATGTCACAACTTCTGAGCATTCCTTATGCCATCATCTATGAAGGCATTTAGCCCCTCCCTGACACATCTTACACAAGGGGGGTAGAACAGTTGGGGATTGTTACTGACAGCTCCCACGTCTTGTTTGTCTGATATTTGTCTAAATTGATGGCTATATAGCCTATCAATGTCCCCCATACAAGTCACAGCCAATTATCAATGCACCACCCACAGAACTCCCATATAGCGTTAGCTAACACAAGAACTGGCTCACTGATATTTGTGATAACTGCATCGCCAGATCAAAGCTGAACTATGATGAAACTTTATAAATGTAAAAACCATGTTATGAATTTTGAAAATTGGCGTGTCATTTGAAGTAACTCAGTTCTGGAAAATATAAAAGAAAACGTTCGAAAAAAAAGAGGTTACAGATTATTTTTTAATAGGATCCACTCTATAATTGAATAAAGCGGCACACAGATTTTCAATCATAATATGCTATTTTGTTTTGTTTTTCTGCGTTGATGTCAAAGATACCATGATGAAACAAAACAAAATCAGTGGTTGTCAACACAAGGTCTGGGCAAACAAAAGGGTTATGTTTTCTGCATCTACCACAATAATTCCATCATAGAGACAAATCTTGATCCAAAATGACCAACTAGTCTATATCATACTTTACTATGCCCTTCATACGGATCACTGTCAACTTTTTGCACCAGAGAAAAGAATGAAGTGTGTCAGGTTTTTCCACTTCACAGCTAAGCTGTTATTATAGTCTGTTTATATGCCGCAATCTAGATGTACTTTTATGCATAGCCAAGTAACTCAATATTACCCTGTGTTCCTATTCCTAAACTGATACAACAGTTGGTAGCCATCAACAGAATCTGTTTTTCCTATTTCCAATTTTCTGTGGGTACATATCTACAGCAAGGAGATCGTATACATTAATAAAGGTTCTTTGTTTTCAATTTGTTTCTGAAAATATTATCATTTATAGGCTATCATGGTCTTTTTTTTTCATCAGCCAACCAACTGAACAGTTTTTAATGAGAAATAGACAATCTATATAGCCAACTTTCAATGAGTGAAATGGTTATGACAGGAGATGACTCAAGAAGATGTGAGAGACACCAGGCATGTAAGAATGATACCACACCGACATAAACAAAGTGTATTTATCAGATTACCCGACCGATCATAGTGCTGCATCACCAGGACCAGCCTTACATTAGTGTGTGGTAGTGTGGCTAAGTGGTTAAGGGTGTATGCTACTTTATTACTTAATTGTCACACTTACCTCCTTTACAAGAGAGTTCCACTTAGTGGTAAAATATCAATGTGAATGAAAAACTCATGCTTGATAATAAGCCCAACCTTCTGTTATATGCATAAGTCAATATTCAGGTTTATTAAAGAACAATAAAAAAACAAAAACACACCTCTGTTCTTTTGTGTAAAAATGTGCTTGTATTTTGCTTTTTCATAAATATGTGCAGTAGTGAATATTTTTTGGTAAAAAGCAGAAAACACATTCTGTTGGATTTTCATTTTTTTTCACCATGAAAGCCAGATTCACCTAGGATACTTATAGATGTAATCTGTATACAGTAAGTACCAGGAAATGTGATCTCATCCACACGGTACCATCATTAGTCAGGAATCACATGTCCTGTTTGTATCTGGAGACGTGACAGGAAGAGCTGAATGTACGGAAGTGTTGACTGGGTCATTCAGTGTAAACAATATCCTACATAACCAGCTATTGCACACACAGGTTGCTTCCTTAATTTCTGGTGAAAACATTCATGTTTGGTCTCTAGACACTTACGTTACTGATAACTCCCAATGGTAAGATGTCTAGGGATGGATGGTTATGATATTTCATACAAACCTGTGTAACATATAGTACCCAAGGGGGGCCAAACCCTCTATATATACAAAGTTGAGTCCCCTTTGTCCAAGGATGCTCTACACAAGTTTTTAAAAGATTCCTCCCTAACATTCTAACATTTATAACTATGTTCCCCACATTATTGGGCCCCACCCCTCTGCCCCCAGGGGGGTGGGGGGCTTTGAAGTGGGGCAAAACTCTCTGTTTATACAAAATGAAGACCAAAATCCACTGAGTCAATTAGGACTAGTAGCATTTTAAAGGAAAAGATGACGGATGGACGATGGACAGGTGAGCTAAAAACCTGACTAAACGGACACTTCCATGAAATAACCTGTCTAATCTGACACCACACATACAAAACATTCCTTACCTATTATGACAGAAGCTAACCTATCAGAGGGTACGGAAGGCCCAATTTACTTCTAGTCGGTTCCTAATTATAGGTGTTAGAGAGTATGACCAGGCAGTGACCCGAAAACCTAAGAACGTAGTTGATGGAAATACAACTTTAGCAGCCGCAGCCCTGCCAGATCAATCAGTGTAAGGCCGGCACTGACCCATGTCACTTTAATTTGTACATCAATAACTGCTAACATACCTACAACACGTTAAAGTATCAGAGGGCAAGTATTTAATGTATCAGGAGGCAGATATCAGAGGAATCAGTGGGCAAATGATTGTATATATAGAATGAATTGAGAGAAAAGTTTAGTGGAGGACAGGTATTACAAGTGTCAGAAAGCAAGCATTACAAGTATCAGGAGGTAAGTATTACAAGTATCGGGAGGCAAGTATTACAAGAATCAGGAGCAAGTATTACAAGTATCGGGAGACAAGTATTACAAGTATCAGTAGGCAAGTATTACAAGTATCAGGAGGCAAGTATTACAAGCATCAGGAGGCAAAAATTTAAATATTAGGAGGCAAGTATTAAAATATCAGGAGACAAGATGTGGTTGAATGAAAGGCCTTGAACTGACAATGAGATGACTATATGTGTATAGTTTAACAGAGAAAGGTCTTGGAACACAAGATGGCATCATGAAAGTTTTTTTCTCAGGGAGGCTTTTGTCTGTAAAACTGAAGCGTTAATTGGCCATATTAGAACATTTAGCACTTGGTATGTTCAGACACTGTCGTCAGTGACCTTTTGACATCTGGACATTCCCATTCCAGCTTCGTACATATCAATTAGAGTCAGCTTCCTTGTTCAGCCATCAACAATGACCTGTTACCCCAAACTGAATGTGATAAGTACGACGTTGCCATGTTACCCAAAATAAGATGTTATAAGTACTACATGTACATGTTACCCAAAATAAGATGTTAAAAGTGCTACGTTGACCCAAAAAAATCCTGATAAAAAATCCCCAAAGCTACATAAAACTGTCATTCTCATAAATGGTTAGATTCCTCCAAATACCTAAATAAAGAACTGTGATTATATTGCTTAACAATGTCTAGCTTCCGCCATGCCATCGCCTTGAAAAAAACGAAAAAAAACGAAAATGGAACTTTCTGTGTGTGAAATAGACAGGAAATTTCCGCTACCCTACCGACACATGAATATTCATCAAGCTTCAATCTGGAACTGAGTGATCTCCGGGTCTCTAAGATGTCTGCTATTATTCTTTGACAAAACCTAGGAGTCACTAGCCTTCTCTCTACAGATTAAACCTTTTCCCCCCGATTTTTTCTTTTTTTCCCAAAGCGACACCATGAGAGAAAGCGAAATCTTGACAATTGAAGATCCAATATCTAGTGTACTTTTACTTCAGCAGCCATTTTCTTTATATCATGTTGTAAATGTTGTAGATAATGATGTTAAAAGTAGGGAGATGACGCCATGAAAAGAAGGCATAAACTGATAAAGGCTCAGGAAAGGACAGATGGAGATGAGTAGGGTCAGCAATAGGGAGGTGTAGAATGGTTACAAAGAGGGAAGTGAATGGGGGTTAGGAGGAGGGAGATGTACCCAGGTTACAAAGGGGGAAGTGAATGGGGGTTAGGAGGAAAGAGGTGTAAGGGGGTTACAAATGAGGGTGGTGATGGGGGCTAGTAAGAGGGAGGTGTATAGGGATTACAAAGAGGGCAGTGAATGGGGGTTAGGAGTAGGGAGATTTAGGGGGTTACAAAGTTGGTAGTGGATGGGGGGTTAAGAAGAGGAAGGTGTACCAAGGTTACAAATGAGGGCGGTGCACAGGGGTTACAAAGAGGGTGGTGAATCGGGGTTAGGAAGAGAGAGGTGTACCAGACTTACAGAGGGTGATGAATGGGGGTTAGGAAGAGGAATATGAAACAACTGTCTCATTTGATCAATTTTTTATAACCTTTGCAGTTTTCCAA